AGCCCAACTCGCTCTAGACACCAGCAGCGCCTTCCTTCCCTGTAGAAAAAAATGTGCCTACAAATGACCCATCCTACCCTGTTATTTAAAGTCCTTTGCCTTATGTCTGACTTTCAGGTACTAGACAGTTTTGAATAAGCAAGCAAACTCACAAACTATGACCCAGATGTTGGAAATACTTAATAGAAAATACAAGGTAACTCTAACTAATAGGCTAACGTCACAGAAAAGGTGCATGATATGCATAACAGAGGATCATTTCGGCAGTGAGGTAGACACTAATAGCAACAGGGATAAAAATGCCTTTGATCTCATCATATGAACGGAAGTGACAGAGCTGAAGAAAGCATCAGTGCGGTTGAACACTACAAACCACTCACACTGAAAAACAAGGAGATAAGAACCAAGGGCTGTGTCCTGGTCTCAAACACTGCAACATATGTGAAATGAGATCTCAGCTATCAAACTGGTAGAATTTGAAATATTAATAATAATAAATGTGATAGGGGTAAAAGAGCATTTCTAGAAATCAAAGGTAAAACTGAAGACAGAAAAAGGAGGCAAAACTATCTTAAATGTGATCAAGTATTTTCTCAGAGCTGGAAAGAATTCACTGCCAATAGATACACATTCCTGAGAAATAGATTTACAATTAGTTTTTAAAGTAAAAATACATCAGTCTAAACCATGGGCTAAAAAAGAAAATAAGAGTTGAAAGTTAAATGTATTAAAAATTTCCAATTTTAAAAAATATTCTAAAACAGGTATGTCCAACTTAGAACCCACAGGCTGCATGTGTCCCAGGGTAGTTATGAATATAGAACAAAACAGCTACCCATTGTAATGTTATGTTGTTAGGTCAAAATGTTGAGACAGTCAAGGAAGGATCAGGAGACATCTCAGTCAATCAAACGCCTACCATGCACCTGTTAGGATTTGAATTTGGATTCCTAACAAACATGTAAAGCAGGGATGAGGGCACACCTAGATTTATGATCCCTTCCCTGGGGAGGTGAAAACAGGCTGATCCCCCAACTCACTGGCCAGCTAGTCTAGCCAATCAATAAGCTATGTATGGGTCAATAAGAGAAACTGTCTACAAAGTACGGTCAAGAATGAGGAAGACACCTGTTGTCATCCTCGGGCCTCCACATTCAATTGTATACACACTCAAGAAGGATCTGTGCTAGTGTGCAAGCACACACATGAATTATCTACAATATGCATATATCTTTAAAAAGGATCAATTAAAGCCAGGCCTTTAATCCAAGTATTTGGGAGGCAGAGGCATGAGGATCTTTTGAGTTTGAGGCCAGTCTGGTCTACAAAGTTCCAGGACAGCCAAGGCACATGCATGGACATATATAAGTGAAACTGATTCTGAGCAAGATCTGATTGATGGTACGGTTTGTGAATTCCCGATCTAAACCTAAAAGTAAACAAATAAATAAATAATAATAGTAAGTTTTTGGTTTTGATGGTTAATTTATTTTTATGTGCATTGATGTTTTGCCTGCATGCATATCTGTGTGAAGGCGTCAGGTCCCCTGGAACTGAAGCCACAGAGAGTTGAGCTGCCATGTGGGTGCTGGGAATTGAACCCAGGTCCTCTGGAAGAGCAGTCAGTGCTCTTAAGCTCTAAGCTCTCCAGCCCCCAGGCAATGTCTTAACTATATGTTCTTTTGAAGATGCCTACCTACCTACCTCAAAAGACAAAGATATGTGAGGATCTAAAGGCTGGTGAGGACATGCTCTGTAAATACTAATTAGCATATTTAATCTTGATTCTCAAATTGTCTGGCTTGAGAGAGATACCTAGGAAAGGTTACTAAAGATTCCTTCTCATGGGAAGACTCTTTTATTTGAGACAGGGTTTCTCTTTGTAACCCAGATCTCCTGCCCCTCCTCCCCCAGCCTTCAAATGCAGCGATTACAGGCATCACCACACCAGCCTGTTAGATAACATCTTATTTATATACACAGGGATTGCCAACTGTACCTTGCTGCTGGTTCTGTGGGGGTAAGAGGGAGGGCTTACTACATCTTAACCATGTTCACATATCTGTGAGGACGTATCCGGAGATGATTAGAATGCAAGGACTCGGACATAATGCTTTCACTCACCGATGGACTAAACTCTATAGGCTATTGGGAGGTGGCAGGATTGTGTACAGTTGGTTATAAATGGAGGAAGTTTCTGGGTATGGCTCTGAAAGATATAACATGGACATGACCCCTTTCTATTACTCCTACCTGCTATGAGGTGAGCAACCTCAGCATCATGTTTGTACTGGCACAACACTCTGTATTATCTCAGGCCTAAAGCAATGGATCTAACTGACAGGGAACTAAAATCTCTGAATCCATGGACCACAGTCCCACCCTCCCATCCCCACCCCCTCACCCCCACTTTAAATTTTTCACAGGTACTTTTCAAAGCAACATAAAGTACTAGGCATGAATTCCCTCTTGGGACAAGTCAATGCAGTGAAAATCACTGCTGCTGTAAAAGCAGGGCCACTGCTGTGTTCACCTGTGGACACATTTTACCTGGCAGAACAGTATTGTAGCATGCATGGATGCACAATCCTGCTTCCAGAAGACCTGAGTTATTACATGAAAATCTCAGTGAGATACCTGTAAGGATTCAGGCATTATGATGACCTGCCCCTGTCACCTGGCATAATACACTCAGGCAAGAACCCTGGTCAGCCCAGGTGCAAGGGACATCTTTAAAAGTAAGACCTCCACCCATTTGCTCTCTCTCTGCTTGTCTAACATGAGAATGGCCCAAAGGTCAATCCCTAGTACTGCAAGGAAGGGAGGAGAGGGAAGAAGCCGCAGTGCAGCCTCCTCCTGCACATGCTCCCACAGCCTCTGCATCTTTCTCTGTAAGGGGATGGAGCTCAATTCAACTGAGCCAAATTACATGGACATAATCTAAAGTCCTTTTTAATTCTGACTACTGTGTCTACTTAAAATGGTTTTCTTCAGTAAGTGCTGCTACCTTAGATTTTATAATTAGGTCTACTTGAGACTTCTTAAGACATAATAGTTTCTTATTTTAGAAATGCTCAACCATTTCTTAACAAATACTTTAAAACTCAACACATTAATTTGTAATTTAATTCATATTTTCAAATACATTTAAATAAAAGTTAGGCATTTACATTTCTGTTATGACTTAACTACTTATAGCTGTTTGATGCACTAGGCATCTTTCCAATTTTCCCCTAATATCTCAGAATGGCTCTTCCTTTTCTCAGGGCTAGGTATAATTTACTAGGACTGTGATAGTTACCACTATTTTAGGATAAAAGAGGCTGTCCCTCTGAAACATGGAACTGCTCAAAGAGAGCAGCATTTCCTGGAGCACCACAGTTACTGCATGCTCAAGGGACTAACCTTACCTGACCCCAAGAGCAGCACTTTGGGTGCAAGGAATGCCCTTATTTTACTCAAAGGCAGAAACTCAAGTTCAGAAACATAATGAGTTCTTTCAGAACCATAGTTGAAGGGTGACTTGAAGTGAGATCTTCTAAGTTCAATTTGTTTCAGTTAGTTTATTATAGTACATGAACTAGGAGTAAATACAAGAATTTCACCAAGTTGAAATAGTTGCTAACTTTATACATCTCGGTTTTCATCCCACCCGCCCTGCCTAGCCCCACCACATTATTTTTTATATATTTTGTTAGTGAAGGCTATCTTCCTTGATGCTATTTCTAGCTTACCCTTTGTGACAGGGTTTCTTATCAGAGCTTACAGAAACAGGCAGTTTACCTAACCAGCTTACCCTAGGGGCCCCATCTCTGCCATCAGACTGTGATTAGAGGACCCTACCAAGCATTTCACGTGGGTTCTGGAGATCTGAAATCTAGTGCTATTGCTTGTGTGGCAAGTGCTTTAACAAATGAGTCATTTCCTTAGACCATTTGCTTTGTTTTTTCTTGCTCATTTCCACATTAATAATTTCCTTTTAGATGTTGAAACCACTGAAAGCTAATAAGTTTCTAAGGAAGGCTTATGTATGCATGTTTTATAGATTCTTCTGTTAGCACTTTAATTACTAAAGATTAAAACTGCACACCAAGGCTTTGTCATGAATACCAAAATTTTTTACAATTACTCTATTTTAAGAGTGTTTGGATGTTAAATTATTATTTTGAGTAAAGAAATGAATGTTCTCTAAAGCCTGGCATGATAGCACAGGCAAGTATACTCAGCGGACTGAGGCAGGAGGAGCAAGAGTTGCAGGCCACTCAGGCCCACATAGCAAGACTGATTCAAGAACACAAAACAAGGGGCTGGAGGGAGCTCAGCAGGAGAAGCACTTAACTACTCTTAAAGAGGGCCTGGGTTCAGTCTGAAGCACCCACATCAGGTGGCTGACAACTACCTATCACTCTAGTTCCAAGAGATCTAATGTCTTCTTTTGGCCTATGTGAGCACCAGGTATGTATGCATGTGGTGCTCATATTACATGTAGGCATTCACACATACACATAAAATACATATAAATAAATCTTTAAAGTGAATAAAATGCAAAAGTATTCACTAAAACAAAAAATGGCTACTGCACATTTATTACAAACAAATTTAATGTGAATAAACTAGAATCTAATGTTAGTACAAATATGACACTTCGATGAATATTACTTATGAAAACATTTTTCCACTAACCTACCCAGTTGGTTGGGATATATTAAATTCCTTGTGGAAAAACTATGAAAAAAAAAATACTTTATGATTGCCAGGCATTGGTGGTGCATATCTTTAATCCCAGCACCCGGGAGGCAGAGGCAGGCGGATCTCTGTGAGTTCGAGGCCAGCCTGGTCTACAAAAGCTAGTTCCAGGACAGGCAGGCTTCAAAGCCACAGAGAAACCCTATCTAGAAAACAACAACAACAACAACAAAAAACAAAACAAAAAAACAAACAACAACAACAACAAAACCACTTTATGACCCATAGCATTTAAGTATCTGGAATATCTCTACCTGTTCTTCATTAGCCGAACCTCTCTCTTCCGGGCTGCTTCTTCAGCAGGCTGTGTAGGAAGTGCTGGGGAAGATGCCATAACAACTCCAGGGGCAATGGTGCTAGTGGGTGCTGTGCGAATCTGGTATGTTTGTACATCGCCAGAGGCAGCTGCAAAAAAAAAAAAGTGAACGAAGTATAAGATACAGAAACACTATAATTCAATTATGAGTCAATCAATCTAAACATACTTGGATTAGAAGGGAAATGAAACAGATGATTCTGGCTAAAAAGAAGATGCCAATTTACTGTACTATTAGTACAGGTACAGGTAAGGATGTCTTAGTGTCTCTGCTGGGTCTTACATTTATGTTGCATTGGAATGGAGATCTATTCTGGTTAACATGCTTACCAACCTTAAGTCTAAAAGGAAAGTGAGGCCCAGCATAGATGGTCTTCCTAGATATAGTCCTCAGTGTCCTCCTTTGATTTGGATAAATTCATATTAAAAAATTTCAAGCAGACTCTTGCCACGACATAAAAACGACCATGATTTTTCATAAATAGCAAAATAGAAGAGAAAATAAGCATATGGTCAACTATTATAAATTTCTAATTCAAACAAAACTCAAAGTACAAAAAACTGGGCTACTGGGTGCCAATCATGGTATATGTAAACATATTATTTTAATGTAAGTGATAATAAATAAACTCAAGCTGTATTTTTTTTTCCTTTTGTTTTTTGGGGACAGGGTCTTACTATGCTGTCCTGCAACTCACTATGTAGACCAAGCTGGCCTAGAACTCAGAAATCCACCTGCCTCTGCCTCTGTCTCCCAAGGGCTGGGAATAAGGTGTCCACCACCTCGCATGGCTCTGGATTCTTCTAACCATACAATCTACCATATGTGAAAAGAAACATAATCACAATTTGTCAATTATTTGCTTCTAAAAACAGCTAATGATACACTGTCCTAATACGTAACCTAACATGTTCAAAGATTTTGAAGTCTTTATAAAATCATCCATATCAGTTAAAATATCAATTGTATCGTTTGAGTGACAAATATTTATATACTAAACATGTTACCATCTTCAAACTGACGTTGAGAATTCAAATTCACTGACATCCTGCTTTACAATTTTTTGAGTACCTGCATGTAAAGTGAAAAGGTGTTTTACTCCCATTAATAAGCAAAATATTTCTTCAAATATCATTGGTCTAATAACAGGATATTGTATAACTATATTAGGGACTGGTTAAATAAAAGGCTTTCTACTTAGTGTTTTGGTACCATTAAAAAATAATTATCCATGGTGAAGGGGTATAATCCTCATTAACACAGGCAACATTCATTATTATTAACAAAATATTTTAGAAGCAAATATTATTATTTTCTCAGTCTATATAAATTTTTAATCTGGTATAAATTATAAACTTTTCAAATAAATTAATGGAGAATAGTTAACACTCTCCAGACTTCTCTAGTCCCCTAAAGACTTAAGTACAATTTATTCTCCAAAGAGCACAAGATTTACATCATGACATGTTCTTTGGAATGTTTTTAATCTAAAATCAAAATTGATAACTTAAAAAAAAGAAGATCTAAGTTCCTTTTAAATAAATAAAAAAACTAAAAAAAAAAAAAAAAAAAAAAAAACCACCAAAAACCCCACAGAGAACAGAATCCACTAAAAACTCTTTAATGAAGACTTGGCACATATGAGGTATGAGGGGAAAGAGGCCCTTAGAAGGTGAGTGTTAACTTGAGTCCATATAGCCTACCTGTGATCTCCTTAGTTTTTTTCTGATTTATAATGTTTTTCCTATCCCTGACTACTGAAGGTATTAAAGATAGGTATTACTCTTTTAAAGCTAAAAGACAGTTGTTTTTATGCCATGACATTTTCGTCTAAGTGAAAAAATAGAAAATTTCATGAGAAATATTTATTTATGTATTAAATGTATACATAGCTAAATCTTTAATATCTAAATCTACACTGAAGAAACTACTTTAATAGTGCAGTATACTTACTTTTCCTGTGTACACATTGATTTTTTAAAAAAATGTACCATATATATGAATTCTTAATTCCATTACCTTGAACAACAACTTGGTTGCTGGGCACTAGAATCTGCTGTCCATCAGTGGTCTGTGCATACTGTAGAATAGTGGTACCCGGCTGAGTGGCAGCTGCATTGGTCATGGTTAATGTCTGAAGGCCCTGTACCCCATCGGTACCATTGTTAGCCAGCTGTATAGCTCCTCCCTGGGTAATGGCAACTAAAACCCAATGAATTTTATTGTTACAAGTTTAATTAAAACCATGTAAGACTTTTAAAACACACTAAACCCATGCAATTAGCAAAGCAAAATGTAGGAGAAATTATTATAGACAGTAACATCACTAAGAAAGACTCAGTATATTCAAGTAAATGTGTACTCAGGAAAACATATCTAATTTTCATGAGAAGTGTACTCTAGGAACTGTACTACAATAAATAATGTGTGATAATAAGAATTAAGTGAAGAACTCAAATTCTTTTTTAACTTATTTAAACTCTGAGGAGGTCCTCCACAATGATACTTTACAGCACCATTAACTGCCTCATCTATTATTTATATTTGTTGCCTTAATCATAAATACATTTCTTGTAGGTAGGAAACTAATGTAAAAGGCACTCAATAAATGCTTGTTATAATTAATAGAGCCATTTGTCTGTGAATTATACTTTCTAACTCATAGAGCGAGTTATAAAATCTGTCAGTAGTGCACTCAAACAGCTATGGGATTGGCATGATACTTCTCAAGGTGCTAAGGCAGAAAAGTCACTCAAGCCTAGTAGTTTTGAGACCAGCTTGGAAAAAATTTTAAGATCCCATCTCAAAATAAAATAAATACTTAAAAAAAAAAGGAAGAAAAAGAAGAATCCAGTAATACACAGATTGGCATGAATGTTTAGGGTTTTGAGCTCAGTCTCTAGCACATTCTACCCATCAACCCCACCAAAAACTTCATCAGTGAAAGGAATGAAATAGTCTGGACCTTACTTATTATAATGTCTCATAATGTTTAAAGGCCAAGATCATCATTTAGATAAAATGTCTCACTATGCTGTAATTTGCATCTCTAGTTCTCATATAAGGTCTTCCATTGACTGATGAATAAATACATTTGCCACTATCTGGCAAATGGAAATTAACAAATATATACCTAAAAGATAGAAGACAAAATACTTTAGATACCAGAGCTTAAAAAAAAAAAAAAAAAAAAAAAAAAAAGGTTGACTCCTTAGACAAACCTTACTAAGGACCAAGTTTTCCAAAAAATATTAGGTGAACAACTTCATTGTGTGTGTGTGTGTGTGTGTGTGTGTGTGTGTGTGTGTGCGTGCGTGCATGCACACACATGCTTGCACACTCGAATATCCAGGGATCAAACCCAGGACCTCACAGGTGGTAAGAATGTACTTCATCAATTAAGTTATGTTCCAGTTCTTTATAATGGATTATAACTGCAATAGAAGAAAAGTTTAAAAATGTGGTATCAACACATTTAACTTAAATATGCCACTGATCAGAGAGGGAGTTAGTTTGAGATCCATTATCAGTAAACTGTAGGGAACTATATCATTCTGAGTGATGTGTACTCAGAAAACTGATCATTCACTGCTTAATCAAGACATATGAGTTAATGGTCATTACTTAACCAATTTAGCAAGATGAAAAACTTGTGGAAATTAACATACTAGCATATATAATCCTTCTTTGTTAGCCAATCCCAGGTTTTACTATTTTTGATGTGAAAGAAATGTCTAAGAATTATTCTACAATTAATTTTGTAAAGATTTCCTGAAAGGGGCAGGAGAGATGACCCAGCAGTTAAGAGCACTGGCTGTTCTTTCAGAGGACCTGGCTTCTATTCCTAGAACCCACAGAGAGGCTTTCAGCCATGTGCAACCAGTTCTAGGGGATTAGACACCCTCTTTTGGCCTCTGCAGGCATGCAAACATCTGGTACACAGGTAAAACATCCATACACATTAAAAAAAAAAAAAATTACATAACAAGGATTACTTGAAAGAATCATAAAGTTAAAAGAATCAAATCTTCATTTCTCATATAGTTAACTTGCAAATTCAAATGTATTTAACACTCCATTTTTTTTTTTTTTTTTTTGGTTACAGAGCAATGAGCTCAAAGTGAAATGAAAAAAAAAACTGCATATGAAAAGATATGGACACTTATTCGTTAAGCAATCATGTGATTCTGTTACTTTTTTTAGAAATGTAAAAACATCTGACTATAGAGATGTGTAGTTGTCATAAACATTAAATAAGGTCACACACACACTTCTTTGAAAATGTTTCATCTAAACTTAAACATTTAACTGTAATGCTTAATTGTACACTTGGTTATTTTAAAAGTGTACACAGTTATTTTGAAAGTGTAAGATAGTTTAGACAAAACCAAATTCATTAAAACAAGAATAGAAAGACAATCGTAACTTTTATCTTCTAGGTGTATTTAATGACTACCAAGAAATACAAACTAAGGAAATACATTACAATTTAATATAATCTAAATAAAATTAAGTTGTATTAGCTGAGATTCTGTACATATAGCTTATGTAAAAAAAGGAGGCATATATATACAATTCTTCTTACTGGTAAAGGGATGAGAGAGGTTTACAGTTTATAGATATTATAACCCTCTAACCCTCCAATTTTGATAACCGTGTTAAGTTACAAATACAGCGCTACAGAGATGGCTGAGAGAAGAGCACTGACTACTCTTCCAAAAGACTCAAGGTGAAGCCAGGACCAACATGATGGCTAACAACAATTTGTAACTACAGTTCCAGGAGATCTAACAGCCTCTCCTGGCTTCCATAGGCACCACATACATGTGGTGTTGACACACACATAGTCAAAAACACTCATATACATAACATTTTTAAAAAGCTTAAAAATAAGTTATAAAATATGTAGTTTGCTATGTGAGTATCCAGTAAGATATTTCTTAGGGGAAAAAAAAAAAAAATCAAGAACATAATGCTAAATCAGTTTCATTAAAGGCATACATGCATGTACAAAGATGATAGTGGGTAAAATAAGCAAAGCTTAAGAAAAATCTCAAAGTACTGGTGTATTTAAACTATCAATATTCACTTGTTGGAACAGTTTGAAAAATAAAAAACCTAAGGGAATGGCAGACAATCCTATACTTCTTCCTTTTAGTTTCTGTATGGTTCTTCTAAAAACCATTCTTTCTAGTTCAAGTGTGACCCTCTGCAGAAATGAATCTACTACTGACAGGACATGTTATTACCCTCAGTATGTTCATGCTCAGGGAGAATGAAGTCTTGTACAATGTTACTCTAGTTCCAAATGTCACTCTGGATCTGATCCAGAGGCTTCCCAGAGCAGTGGCACACATGTGTTGTACATAAATTCATGCACAAGCACGCACAAACACACCTACCTGTAAATAAAAGTAATGAATCTTTAAAAGAAAGCCCTTCCTTATAAGTAATATCAAAAGTTTCAGTGTTGGAAAGCTAAAAATATTGCTTTAGGTTATCTATTTTTAATGTAGCTGGAATGCAAACTGCAGGCAGGCAAACCAACATTAACCTGAAATTTAAAAGCTAGTAATTTGTGTGGGAATCATGTAAGAGACACAAGGAAGACAAGAATGGAGGGGGGAGAAAAGAAAATCACATTTTACAAATGCTCTTTATCAACTCAAAAGTAGTTCCTAATGGATTCAGGAAAAAGAAAGAAAGAAAGAAAGAAAAAAAAAAAAAAGACAGAAGTAAGACAGAATTAAATGCAGGACAGATATGAAATGGAAACTGTAATGGCTGTCAAAAGTCTTTACTTTCAGAAAAGCACAGCCAAGGCTGGAGACTTGGCTTACCAGCTAGGAGCACTTACTGTGCTTTCAAAGGACCTTGATCAGTTCCCAATATCACATAGTGACTCACAACCATCCATAACTCTATCTACTTCCAGGGGATTATGAGCCCATCTTCTGACCTCTGTAGGCACCATGGTGCACATACATACATGCAGGCAAACATTAATACACATAGGTCTTTCTTCTCCTTCCTTCCTTCCCTCCCTTCCTCCCTCCCTCCCTCCCCTTCCTTGAGACATGGTCTCTCTATGTAGTCTTGGCTGTCCTGTAACTAAGTGTGTAGACTAGGCTGGTCTTTAATTCAGAGATCTACCTGCCTTCTGAGTGCTAGGATTAAAGCCATGCAACACAATACTTGGCACACATAGGATTTTTTTTAAACTAAAAAGTGACACTATCTGTCAGTTTTAGTAGTTCTTGTGTGCATATTGTCATAATCCACTATATCACCTTTTCTAAGGAAAGAATAATAACTGAACACAATGGCATTCCTACTTGAAACACTAAGCGCAAAGATTTTTAAAAGCTATTTTTAGGAAGTAAGATTAAATAAGAAGTTACAATAATGGAACTGTTTTTGGTCTTCATCATATGTTTTCCTTATCTGAAGAAAATATCTTCTCTTAACATTATGAGAACTAAATCTAGATATTTAGACCTTCAAAAAACTTTCAGACTGCTTGATGAAGCTGTACTAAAGTGAAGCATATGTAACTGACTCACACACTTATGGACTCCTAACACTACAAAGGAAGCCTTTTCATTGTAGATTTCTGATAACAGGGCAAACAACAATGGCAGCAGAAGCCTTGACATTTATCATTTCTTCAGAGAGTTTTCCTTCTCACTTTTCATAATAGAAAAAGTTATTACTCACTATACTGCCCACTGCTTGTCTGGTAGATCGGAGTTGGCACCGTTACAGTGGTGATGGCAGGGGCTGAGGTCTCCTCCTCTGACTTTTCTTCTTCAATCCTTGGCACCCCTGGTGCATCAGAAGATAAGTCATTCAAAATTTTCCTAGAAAAATAAGAAGCTACTTTAATTAAGAATAAAATTCACTAAGTATAAATAGTAAATATTAGAAAACTGCTTATGTATAGAGCAAAAGTTTAAAATACATGAGTTATATAAGTAAACTTCAAACAAAGCAGGAATTTCAAATATAAGAAATGTGTGTGTGTGTGCGCGCGTGCACTACAACTGCTACAATAAATAACAGTACTTAGGTTTTTTGGTTTGTAATGTTATGCTTTTGGGTGTTTTGTCTGCATATGCCTGGTGCCTGTAAAGGCCAGAAGAGGGCACTGCAGACCCTAAGACTAGAGTTAGATGGTTGTGAGTTCCTATGTGTATCCTGGGAATTGAACCCTGATTCTTTGAGCAGCTGTTGCTCTTAACCTCTGAGCCATCTCTATCCAGCTTCTACAAGCCATATATATTAATTCTGTGTAAACACACACCTAAGACAGGATTTCTCTGTGTAGCCTTGGCTGTCCAGGAACTCAGAGATTTGCCTGCCTCTAGCTCCTGAGTACTGGGACCAAAGGAGTATGCCTTTAATCATCCAGCTTAATTTGGATTTTAAGACATTGTCTTGCTGGGTGTGGTGGCACATGCCTTTAATCCCAGGGCTAGGGAGGCAGAGACAGGTGGATGGATCTCCATGAGTTTGAGGCCACCTTAGTCTACAAAGTTCCACGACAGCCAGAACTAAACCCTGACTCAAACCTCACCTCAGAAAAGTGTTTTATTATTAATCTCAGGTTGGCAAAGTCACAATCTTCCTGCCTCAGCTTCCCCAATGCTGGGGTTACAGTTACACATCCTGCATTGCATGACTCTCTCTCTCTCTCTCTCTCTACATATATATATATATATATATATATATAAATAAATAAATATAATTATGCAAAAGTGTAACATAAAGATATGTTCCTTATTGGAGATTATCGTTGAAGGTTAAAAATTACCAATTTGATCTCACAATCTAATCCAGCTTCCTTTTGTATGAGAATCCAAATACACATACTAAGACATTGTTCACATTCTATTTCTGGTTGCTCTAGACCATACTGTTGAAGAGAATAACTAACCTTTTTGAAATAAATTTTTAATCTAGAATCAAATAATTGAACAACTGCTTTACTTTAAAATCAGGTTTGAAGACTTTACAATATCACTATAATATCACCCTATTAGTTTCAACCCACTTTCTTTGCCTGCTATGGTCTTTAAAGTACTCATTCTCCTAACACTCATTAACACCCTGGTTCTGTCATTTATAAATTCAATACACATGGCTTCTGTTTTTCCAGATCAATTACTGGTAGAAATATCAAGCCAAATGAGCCCAAATGGAGCACCTTCCAGCTGCACACAAATCAACTGCTTTATAAGGATAGGTTATGCCAATAAAAACCTATTTTATATTATCAACCAATGTCATTTTTCCAACCTTACAAGCATGTTATAAGCTTCTGTTAAACAGTTTGCTATAATCTAGATATAAAGGCTACATTTCAGGAATTCATAAACTTTATATCACTATTACCCCAGTATGACCATCTCATTAAAGTAAGATGATGTCCTTTATAACTCTTTCTTTACAAGTTTTGTCTCTAGAACTTTCATTTGATTATTAGAACATTACTTATTTAAATAACGTGGTAGAATTAAATAACATGTGGCCAGAAAAAAACTAAGGCACATTTTGTCTTTAATATAAAGCTGATATCTTTCTTTCTTCCTTCCTTCCTTCCTTCCTCCCATCCTTCCTCCCTCCCTCCCTCCTTTGTGAATGTGGTAGGAGGCATGTGTGTGGAAGACAACTTTGTAGAGTTGGTTCTTTCCTTCCACCCTTACATGGCTTGAGCATGTATGTTTATTAGATGGAGCCATCTGGATGACTTGCAGCTATGATTTGCACAGTTTACAGTAGTCATGTGACTTGCTTCTTGTTGGATTTGCTTCAGGTTCAAAGCTATTATATGGTAACATGATATATACTTCCATGTCTCAAAATCTAACACTTGCTATATTTTAAAACAAGAGAGAAGAGCTACAGAGATGGCTCATCAGGTACTAGCTTCAACTCCCAGCACCAATGGCAGCTCACACTGTACCTCCAGTCACAGAAGATCTGACATCTATTTTAGTCCCAGTAGGTACTTCATGTACATGATGCATAGAAATACATTTAAACACTCATATACACAAGATAAAAATAATAATAGATTACACATACTACTTATAATACATATCCCACAACATAAAATTTCTTAAGACTTCAAAATTAATTGACATTATTAATAATACTTATAAATAATAATTTGTAAGGTCAAAAAAGAACTTAGTAGAAACTGTAAGTAAATACATGGAAGAAGGTGAGGCATCAACTATCATTAAAAAAAAAAAAAAAAAAAAAAAAAAAAAAGCAAGGCCAGAGAGAAGGCTCAGTGGTTTAGAGCACTGACTGACACATAAAACAAAATAAATCTAAAACAAATTATAAATAGAAGCTTAGACAAAAAGGTACAATTTAAACTAAGAGGGAAAGTAAGTGTAAAATTCTGAATTCTATAGTAAGCTTAAGAGATTAGTAGGAATGTTGTTTCTACATATACTCAACATGGAGCCAACTGATATACATACTGCTTTTGACCTTCCTTCGAGGAGGCAAGGTATAAACAAAATTGAACCCAAACTAGATGTGAGCAAAGTACTACCCAGAAAACTACTAAACAATGGTGTTTGCTAGGTACCATGACATAAAAACATCATAGATGCACAGCTAAGAAGCTCACTAGTGTATCCCCAAAACAATGCTGTAATTCAGATGTATCCCAAACTTTTCAAAGGAAAAGCAGCAGTCAGTATAGCTACAAAAACAGAATGAGGGGGAAAATGTTTTTCAAACTGTTTACAGCAGCAATCCGCAACCTTCCTAATGTTGTGACCCTTTAATACAATCCCTCATGTGTGGTGACCACAACCATAATTTTTTTGTTGTTGTTTATACTTCATAACTGTAATTTTGCTACTTTATGAATCATAACGTAAATATCTATTTTCCAATGTTCATTTGGGGGTCACGATCCACTGGTTTAGATTAAGAAGTAGTCTTATTTTGTATTTGAGAACTAACTCAAGAGAAATCATCCACAAGATACTTGCTTTAGCAGCTTTCCAGGTGTTCTGATACATATTATCTGACAAGTACTAAGCCTTTCTGCATGTCTCAGACTATTAAATCACATACCTGTAAGAAGGCCTCCTTGAAAGAATTTCCCTTCGTTTTTGTGAATCAGTCACACTATCCACAGACTCCTGTGAATCTTCACTTTCTGCAATAGTTGAAATCTGAAAACAAAGAATAACTTTATCTTGATTATCAAATTTAGCTCCCATAAAATGTTTAAGTCCAATATAAGGACTGTATATATACAACTCTTATACATGCTTCAGTTTTTAATGGAGACAACTGCACCAATAAAACTCATCTCCTACAGACTAAAATGATGTCATGGAAACAAAAACATTTGTCCTGAAAATGTCCTTACTTTCTCCCAAGCAACCAATCCTGAATATATCACTAACAGCAATTATTCCTTGCAACTGTTAGAACAGAATTGCCAACCAAAATGATGTTCGTCATAAGGGCAAGAACAAATAGTTGGGCCTAAGTCTCTAACAATATATTTTCCTATAATTATTGTGCAAACACATATTTACCACACCATAAACTGTTTGTCCTGGTTAGTTTTATATCAACTTGATCTAAGCTAGAGTCATCAGAGAGGAGGGAGCCTCAACTGAGAAATTGCTTCCATAAGATCCAGCTGTAGGCAGGCTTGTGGGGCATTTTCTTAATTAGTGATTGTTGTAGGTGGGCTCAGCCCACTGGGGGTGGGGCAATTCCTAGGGTGATGGTCCTGGGTTTTGTAAGAAAGCAGGCTGAGAAAGCCATAAAGGACAAACTAGGAAGCAGCACTCCTCCATGGCCTCTGCATCAGCTCCTGCCTCCAGATTTGTGCCCTGTCTGAGTTCCTGTCCTGACTTCCTTTGATGATAATCATCAGTGACAGGAAAGTATAAGCCAAATAAACCTTTTCTTCCAAGTTGCTTTGGTCATGATGCTTCATCACAGCAAAGTAATCCTAACAAAGACACTGTTGTTTTCCTGTAAGTCAGTAAACATCCTCTACTATACGTAAACTACATAAACATGCTCAAAGTTGGCATTCACAATTATTTTTAAGTAAAACTTCAAGGTAATGAGCTATGCATTTTTGTTAAGGGCCCTTAGACTAGAAATTGAAGATGAATGGATAAAGACTAGCGGAGTAGCAGAAACTAGAATTTACTAATAACTTATTACGTGCCAGATTTCATGTTAACACATCCATATAGTCCATTATTTCATACAGTAAACATCAGGTATCAGATGAGCCCTGGTCTTATGCTCAAAGAAGAACTGAAACAATAATAGGGTAGGTACTCAACAGGACCACAAAGCTAAGGAGTGTGACCCCTGCCCAGTCAGCACTTCCACTTTAGACTTTACCAGCATTAAAATCCTGGTGGTCCCAGTGTCAATGCTGCTGGAAAACAGCCTTGTAGCACTTTAGGTCACTCTAGACTCACAGTCCACTCATCTGCGTGTGCTTGTCCATAAAATTTATATTATATAAAATTTTTCTAGTCTATATCAGAGGCCTCATGTGCTTTCTTCCATGAAGTACATAATGCTGTAACAATGAGGAGACTTAAACAAGATGAGAGGGCCTATGTGAGTTAGCACTACCTCAAAATAGCCAAAACAGCAATAAGGAAAACTATACTCAGACAAAAAAGAAATTCAAAGAAACTCCACATGCAGTCTGGCTCAAGGACTAGGGTGGACACTCAACGCCCCCACAATCTTTTTTTGGTTTTGTTTTTGTTTTTAGAGACAGGGTTTCTCTGTGGCTTTGGAGGCTGTCCTGGAACTAGCTCTTGTAGACCAGGCTGGTCTTGAACTCACAGAGATCTGCCTGCTTCTGCCTCCAGAGGGCTGGAGTTAAAGGCGCACACCACCACCCAGCAACACTCACCCCTTTTGACAGTGCTACACTATGTGTATGCTCACTTCAGAGAAAAATGAGGAATGCTATTTAGCTGCTATACCTAGCTCACACACTGGCTCTACACAAATGACCTCAAAGATAAATGGAAGATTAGAAACTGGAAACTGGGGGTGGGGTGGGGGTGGAGATGAGAAATCAGTAGTCAATAAATTCAATGTGAGCAGTACTATGGCAAGTGAATTTATTTTTGCTAATCTTAGTTCCCCTTTGGCTTTCTTTCTACCTCTGTTTGACTCTTACATATAATAAATCCCATCCTTACTATTTTTCCCTGGAGAAAATGGGAGGTAGATGAGTTTTTCCTGGTCATCGAGGCTGGCACCAAACAGACAATCCACCCAGCCCTGCTTCTAAGTGCTGGGGTTACAGGTATGTACTACTATGCCTTGCACTTAACTACTATCAAAATTTTAAGGACACACCCTGACACAACCCTGGATTTGATCGCCAGCACCATATGAAAGCAGGTCTGGAGGCTTATGCCTGTAAACTTAGCACTGGGGAGGTGGAAACAGGAGGATCAGTAAGTAGTTCAAGGTTATTCATGCCATACAATAGGTACAAAGCCAATCTGGGTATATGACTCAACAACAAAAATCAAAATAAGTAAACTAAGCACAGATTGGTTTTAAAATGAATACTGCCTTTTCAGTTGTAGCTTTGTTTCCTATACGAAATCAATGGATTTTGTTGGCCCTCTCCAATCTAGAAGATTTTGTCAATTTAGACAGAGAATTAACTAAAATGAGAAACCCCAAACCATATGGCTATAAAATGTACCAACACCAAGAGAAGCCTGTGTAGCACCTTTACACTTGGAGTTAAGATGATTCTGATGCGGCAATTCTAACAAAAGCAACAATCTGTTATGTGGGGTGTTAACAAGGAAAGAGCTACTCATGTGGGGCCAGGGATACATGGAAAGCTCTCTAACTCTCAATTTTGCTGTTATAAAACAAGCTGCTCTTGAAAATGAAATCTTAAAAAAAAAATCATACAGGATCCATGATTTTTATACTAATAAAAATATAAAGATCCAATTTTGTAAGTATTCATAAATATATAAAAAATAAAATCCAAATCCAGGCTCCAACACTATAACACTCTTCCCGCCTGTCCTCACACCTCCTGACAGTCCCTTAACGTCTGTCTCCCCAAGTTCCTTAAACAGGTCTTTACCTTTAGCTGTCTGTAACAGTCTGGGTATTTTAAAAATCCAAGACATTATTTTTATTTGACATTTCAAAAGAACTATACAGTTGTAAGAAATAGAAAAATATTAAAACTATACAACCCTTTGTAAACTTAAGAGTGTTTTCATTGTCTACAGTTAAGACTCATGGTTTAGATAATTTTTTACTCAAAAAAGCTTAGTAAAGCCTAGGATACTGATCCTAAAGCTTGTTCTGCTTACTTTACCTCCCTTACAAACAAGAAACCTGGGGTTTGGAGAGATGGCTCAGGTAAGAGAGCCAGCTGCTCTTCCAAAGGACCAGGGTTCAATCCTCAATACCCACATGGCAACACCCAACTCCAATCCCAAGAATGCCCTCTTCTGGCATCCACAGGTACCAGGGATGCACATCTTACACAGACATACATGCAGGCACATAAGAGAATTTCACATGCGCACACACACACACACACACACACACACACACACACACACACACACACACGTGCGCGTATATACATGCATATCTATTTGTAAATTATGTTATTTATAAAAAAAGTTCTTAGGATAGGCATAAATATTAAATTTATTTAAGTAGAATTAAGGTTTTCACTAACAGTGAAAACAATGTCCTTAAATGTGCTTTACTGGAAGACCATCAACATCTTTGAACAGTGATTCTGGACAGGTAGGAGAGGCACATGCCTCTAATCCTAGCACTGAGGCAGAGTCTGCAAGAGCTGCCTATACAGCAGCACTTACCCTACTAGTTTAAAAGCGAACTTTAAATGTAGAGATTAACAAAACTAAGTACCTTTTAGCTGTGCTTAAATGTTTTTTTTTTCTTTTTTTCATTTCCATCTATCAATGAGGTAAGCTGTTGATGAGGTTTATCTAGTGTATCTGACCCCTGGATCTAACTGGTTACTATGCTCTAGCAAGAAGGTATGGCTTTTTTTCTTTTTAGCAAGAGGATTATAACAGGATTATACATAGTTCTGGCTGGCCTGAGCCTTGCCTTGTAGACCAGGCCTGCCTTGAACTCATAGACACCCATTCTCTGTTTCTGACCCCGATGCCAATGTTAAAGGTATGGTCTCCATGCCCAGCTAGTTTCATATTTAACAGGAAAGCTCAGCAGCTACCAAGATTGAGACTTCTGAAGAAAAAAAAAAAAAAAACTGAGAAAAGTCTAAAAATTTAAAGTATATAGATAGGAGTTTTTAAAGAAGACAAATCTACATTGTTTACATGAAAAAAGTTAAGAAAGCATCTTCAAATTTCTCTCCACAACTTAAGTTTCTTCTAAAAAGTATTCTTTCATTTGTGGCTAACATCCCCCAGCCAAGAAATGATTTTTCCCCCAAAAGAAATGCATTTAAAAAAAAAAAAAAAAATCTACCACGTAAAATATCCCTTCAAAGCCCTTGCTAGCCATCACCAAGTCCAGAAACTCTAGAACACTTGTCTGGGGGTAACAAAACAAAAGCCACTCCCCCGCCACCAGATGATAGTAATGCTGTATGTAAAATGGCCACAGAACTACTATGTTGTACAAGGGTTTTACAGCTGTCCCCATCATATCACAAAGCATTAAAGAAGAGACTATCAACACTGAGTCTCCAGCCACTCTCCTCCTCCGTACTCTACTTAGGGAACCAACAGTATCATGCTAGTCTTTCAAATTCCAAACACACTCATTTCCACATCTTTGGGCTGCTTTTATCAATGGCTTGGCTCAGCTGCTTTACTGACTTCTGGTGTCTGCTCACTGTGTTCCCCAACCACCTCACACGAATTACAGCACCCTTCCCTTTCCATCTTTTCTACCCTTTCCCCTGATATTAACCTCTGAGCACTTATCCTCACCTGACATATTTTATTTTTTCATAGTATGTCTCTCTTCACTCAAATGTGATCTTCATGAGAACAGAGATGTATTGTTTGTTCACTGCTGTCTTTGATAGCACCTAGAACAATGACTGGCACATAGCACGTGATCAATAAACATTTGGTGAGGAAATGGATGTAATAATTTAAAGTAATAAAATCTGTAAGTCCTTTTTGATACATTTAGACAGCAATATTGGCCCAAACTGATATGTGCCACTACCAACCCTGTATACACTGTCAAACTGCCATTATTTTTGCAAAATTCTCACATTATCTGTGAAATGTGATTTATACATGTAGAAATAAATTAGGATGGCAAAGTGAAGCTGTACATAAAATATTAGTACAGCACAGTCTCTGCTCTTACTATATTAAAATATATCAACAGAAGTCCCACTGTTCTTATTCTCCCATTAATATACCTTGTATATTTTGGGAACTTGGTTATATAACATTAACATTCTACCATCTAGAAATCTGAGGGACATTTTCACTCTGTTTGGTAACCTCTTGTAACCCACTACTTCCTAGTTATTAACACTAACCACTGCTAGCTGGCTCAAATAACCATCAAAACTTAACACATTTTCCTAGTAAAGAATATTTAACAAAAAATAAACATATATTTACATCTCCATATAGTCCAGGCTTCAAGAAGTCCAACATCTCTCATATATATATTAAAATTACATAGCTCACTGTGATAAAAATGTATTCTTGAAAAGACAAATACATATTTCTAACAAAATTAAGGACATTTACTACCTGGGTTTAAGTTATGTTGCCTCAAAATAAGATTAAAACTAAGAATATAAGCAACAATTAAACATCACATTTTCTTAATTAAAAATTATAATATACATTTTATAGCCTAGTTTTATTTTTGTAAATAAAATAAAACTTTCTGTAAGTGAAAAAGTAAGGGTCAACTTATTACCATCCAAAGTAGGTCTGATTTCTAAAACTCTTGACTAGCAGACCAAGTTCTCTCTATTATATTCTAGAGATGAGTTAAGGTACAAAATTAGTAATGAGATATGGAAGATGACAAGATAGCATTCAATGAAACAAAAACTAAGTCAAAAGACTACTTCTTATCATTGTGGTTTCTAGAAATAAGCCTTTACTTGGATGATACTGTCACTGACTTGTTCATAAAGTCCATTCCCAGTATCTGCAGGAATCTGGTAACTTTTCCTGAAGGATTTCACATGACAACAGTTCTCTACCCCCTGTGTTAAAGCAAACCAAAAGCACAAAGGAAAAGCTCAATTTGTCAGCATAAAGCTGATAAACCCTGACACGGGTACTGATGACAGTAACAGAATGGTCCCAGGACAGAGGAGGAGACACCTTCCCCTCGCAAATATCCATCAGTTCTGCTACCATACAAAGACAATTTAACAGCTGTCATCAAAAACAATTAAGGCTAAACAACAGAAATCAAAGGTTACATCATATAATAAATGTGGGAGAAAGGAGAAGCTTGTTGAATCTGTAATTTTCTTGAAAGTAGGAAGGGTGTGGGGAAAGAAGGGAAAGGAAGTAGTCCTATAAGAAAGAATTAAATCTGCTTAGTTCTTGGGATCACTAGGTCACAATACCAGAAAGGCATATTATGGCTAGCTACACAATATTTCAGCAATTAGGTTTCACCTCTAATTGTACAGTCCTTAGGAGCTTCCTTTTTTTCAAAGCGTTTATGCAATTCTGAACTACCAGTTGGAGGAGAAATGTTATAGAGGAATTAAGCAATAACCAAGCAATGAGTAGGTACAAAATACCCAGGCTGAGAGTTTGATTCAAAGCTTGAAATTCCATGTTCATAGAGAAGGACAAAGACATAAATAATTTCTCACCTTCCTTTCTAAAAATAGTTTTCTTCAAATCTAGGACCTAGGACTCACCTGAGTTCCGGAGAAAAGTCTTTTTAAGTCCTTACAGGAAGACTGTGAAGTAAAAAATATGAAATGGGAGGCTGGGGTTATGGCCTACTTGCATGAATGTTCAGTCTTTGTTTTTTTCTTCAATCACCTGAATTGCAAAGAATTATGCTGCTATTGATCTTGGGTCCCTAGACCTAAGTAGTCACCTTCCGAAGTTTAGAGTGCCTTTATTCCCTTTCACCCCAAAGGAACAAACTCCAAAGAACCAGATAGTATATGTGATATAGTCAACATCCTCCTGAATATATTATTATTTCAGGGTTATATACTCTACCTAAAAGCTCTAAGAAACCAATATTATGTCTGATGTGATCTCTAAGTACAAATCCTATCTCAGGCAAGGTTACCAATTTCTATTAAGTCTTTCCCCATATAAACTTAGGTTCATTTTCCTTAATTGAGGTACATCAGTCCTACAAGTCTTCCCTAAACATTTTCATTTATCACATGAACTACTATCTCTCTAAATAAATGCTTTTTCTTCTGCAGCTTAGAAAAAGTAGTTTTTTAGGTCTGTCCTTACATATATTAACAGAACTATACAGATACAACATATTTCTTTACTATGAAGTAAAATAAATCTAAACTAGAAGTGTCTTTATTTTCACAACTGATAAAGGAGACAGAGATGGCTATAAACAAGTAATTCAAGCATATGCAGAACTTTTTATACACATACCTGAACTGTTTGGACTTGTGGGGATTGAATAACCGATGGCTGGGCTGCCTGAATAACTCCATGGACTTGGACTGTCTGCCCATTGGGCAGCTGCACCAAGGTTACAGTGGGAGCAGATGATGTCGCATGAGCTGCTGGCATGGATACCTATAGAAACATGGAAAGCAATTACCATCACAGAAACCTCTGTGAGACTACTCAGATTCAATATGAAGTAACTTCTAATAAGGCAAAACTGTGACCTTCTTGCTTGGTATTTCAATAATTTAATACTCTTTTAAAGAAAATTTCCAACCCTGTACAAATTCTCCTCCCCTCTACTTTTCAGCCTGACCCAAGTGACATAAAAGGCCAGTTACCTCATCAACACACACAACCCAGTCATTCTCTGAAGGCTAAGGAATACTTTATTCATATGGTGCTTTACATTTTCCTGCCTGCTTTTATGTCCAGTTTTTCTTTTTCTTTTCTAAAGGCTGAGTAATAAGGATTACCTTTACTTAAAGACAAAAACATGGTAAGAGAATAATTCACCCAAGGACAACAACAAGCATTCAGAATACTCTGGTGTTAAATAAGCCATGTTTTAAAACCTTAACTTTTCAAATTTAGGCAAATAAGACTTACTAAGTTTAGAACAACACATTCTAATATATTTATTTTAATATTCTACTTTAGACTAATTACAAGCATGTCTTTTCATTCGCAAGAAAGTATAGGAATTTTAATTAAAAATTTCCGTTCCTCCCATTCAGGAAAACAGCAACAATAACAAAAACAACAACAATAACAAAACACTAAGCTAATTAACAGGAGGGATTTTAAGACTCCTTTTTGTGCATGCACGTGTGTGTGTGTGTGTGTGTGTGTGTGTGTGTGTGTGTGTGTAAGAGGGAAAGAAGCAGAGATACAGGGGTTCAAAAGGCTTCAATGGTTTAATCATAAAAACATCTCCATGTCACCTTAAAATAGCTTTCAAGCCAGGCACCCATGCCTTTAAACCCAGTACTCAGTAGGCAGATGTGAATTCCATACCAGCCAGAGGTGCGGTGAGACGATGTCTCAAACAAAAATCTTACATTTTAATCAGTTATAGTGTCACATGCTCATAATATCAATACTAAAGACGGTGAGACAGGAGGACTGATACAAGTTTAAGCAAAGTCAGCCTAAGCTAACTTTTGAGCCCCTGTCTCAAAAATAAAACAACTTACATCTATTCTGAGACTATAGGGGGAATTGTCTCAGTTTTTGTTTTGTTTTGAACCAAATAACATGGTGAAATTTCCATTTTAGATCAATTAATGTAATGGCTGAATAAAAGACATAACACTTCAGAGAAAACTGGAGGTGGGAGGACCATGAGAAGCCTATACAGTGGTTAGGGTAAGGTGATAAAAACCAGAAACAGGGTAATGGTAGGTGGTAAGGAAGGGCTTTTTGAATGACTAGCTAAAGAGAGGAATTAAAGATGACAGAAGTGGCAAATGTGCCAAGTAAACAGAATGAAAGAGATGGTTTGGGATAGCCAGGATGTAGTGAAAGGTGTAGCACTGAATGTGAATTTGAAGAGAAGGGGATACTTCAGTAAAGCTGGGGGAGACCTTTTGGAGACAAGTTCTCTTTAGCACATAGATTAAAAGTAGAAGTTTCCTTTTCTTAGACAGCCACAAAACTTTCTTTATTAGTCCTATTCTCCTTATTCACTCCAAGTTATGCTTACCTGGTTCTCTAACTATGGTGCCAAGATTATCTTCAGTCACATAAGTTGTCCTGTTTACAACATCTTAATCTAAGAGGAAACTAAGGAAGGATACTGTCCCCTCAAGTTTAAAAGGTTCAGTCATAGAGTTACTATGAGCTGACTGTTGCATTTTAATTCCACAGGAAACCTTTTTGAATATTAAAGTAATTACAGCATCAGTGTCTTCTTCCATGCATCCTTTAAAGACGAACATAACAAGCTAACCCAGAGATTTTTACACTACTCAAAATTTTCCATAGACATTTAAGTTTAACATAAAATACTAAATAGCCTGACCCCCTTCATGTATATGTGGGTGGGAAGCAGACTCGAGCAGAGTATCTCCAGCCCCCCCCCCCTTTTTTTCACTTTTAAGACAGGGCCTCACTTGATTACTGAGGCAGACCTTGAACTCTTCAGACTCCCAAGCAGCAGTTACTACAGACCTATCCTACAAAGCCTGGCTAAAAATCCCCTATCTTCCTCCTACCAGAACCACCACAGCATTTTCACTGTTTATTTTATCTATCTAGCTCTTTTTTATTCAGTGACAGAGATTAAACTTAGGGCCTTGTGACTGCTAGGCCTGCTAGGCTGGCACTTTATACTGAGGCATGTTCCTATCCCAGGTGTCCTGCCCTCTGACATAGTGATGTTGCCATGGTCAAATGTGTTGGGCCACATTTACAACTATCTTGGGACACATGAGGCCTGGTCCCAAGTGAGACATGCTTGACAGATGTTTCTCAAGACACACAGATATATTCAATTTTTATGACACCATGAAACATATTTTTCGGTTTTAAAATCTATTATAAATATCTCTGCATAGTCTTACTAAAAATATAAAGGATATAGGATATATTACAGAATTTGTTTAATAAACTCCTATTATTACTTTTTACTTAGATTTATTAAAAGTTTACATTCTCATCTGAGTGTGATGGTGGATGTCTGTAAACCTAGGACTAAGGAAGGTAAGGCAGAACTGCTCCAAGTGTGAGGCCAGCCTAAGGACATAGTAATGTACTGTCTTAATAAACTAAAACTGTATGTTCTCATGATCAAAACCACAGGCTTCTTTAAACCTTAAATTCTAAAAGTAAAGTAAGATATATTTTTGTTGATTATCTTTCTTCCTTTACTACTTGGATTAATTTTATTTTCTTGCCCTCCTATTCACTGACAAAAGTCACAATCATCTTGCCTTAGCTTTACAATGTTTTTCTAGTTTTGAAAAGCTGCCATTATCTGGAGTCAGAATTAGCAGGAAGTTATGTTAAAATCCATGATGTACACTTCCCTGGAACATGGTAAACAAGAGGGTGGAGAGTTTATAAGAGTCAAAGGATGGGAAGGAATGCTGTGAAACTCTTTGCTGTGGACATGACATTGCTGTTACATTGACAAACTCAAAACATTCTGATTACCTGTCTAGGATATGTACAAAATGAAGCTTGTAACATTCTGTCATGGATAGGATGGGGGATAAGGCTTCATAAGTTCCCTGAGGAATTATTAGCCGTTAATGTTTGCTGGGAAAGGGACATTTTCTTTAGTAGTATAGGCACTTGCAAGTTATCCATACTTCAGTAAGTAACTCCCTACTCAGGTTCATGTAAATAGCCATAATTAAACTCAGTGGGTCACAACAATAACAACAAAAAGACATCAGAGTAGAAGGGATCTTGGAAGGAAGGGGTGTTGTGGGAGGGGAAGGGTAAAGAGGTCATGAATGTGACCCAAATACATTATATGAATGCACCAAACTGTCAAAAAAAGATTATTTTTTAAAAGTGTGGTTTATTAAGGAACTTGGATGAGCCAAAAAAAGACCCAAAAACAAACAAACAAACAAACAAACAACCCAAAACAAAACAAAAAAGTAGACAAGAAGATAGGGGAAAAGATACGCTTTCTTAAAGTTCAAGTTCAACTACACATCCTAAGTCTTCAGTGCTGAGAGGGCTGCCTAATGATAAACAGAACATGTTCCATTCTGAATTCCAAATTTATATCTCACGAAATTTATTTCACTTTTATATGTATAATCATATAAGTGTGGAAACTAGGAAAGGAGGCAACAGAGTTTTATAGGCTGAAGAGCATTTGGATCAATAATAACAAACAAAAAGCCACAGATGGCTAATTCATGGAGGAAGGGAAAGCCTGTTTTATACCATGAAAAACCAGATGCTTAGTATCTTCAACACTGTAAAAGGTGGAGTGAAGAGAAGGGCTGAAAGTAAATAAAAGGGTGGTTGGAAGCTCTTTTTTGTAGAAGAAAGGTCTGGTCCACTGTGAGAGAACACTACAGAACTGCTAGAGATAATGGGTCTTAACCACGTAACACCAGGTTGATGACTGAGGCACTATTAAACTCCAGCTGTCTTCTCTCCCTTGGCTCCAAGGCCCTTTCCATATAAACAGGATGAGTGAGACCTTTGAGAACCTGGTCAAATCAAGGAGAAGGTCCGAGACACTAACAGTTAAGACCACCACTGCAAGTCCATAGTTGGAAGCTGTTGGACTCCAAACATACCCACAAGGCTTCCAAAGTAGCTTCCTAGTCATTTATAACTATCTAGTTATTATTTCATGTTGGGGCATGAGCTTTACATGTGCTAAGTACATGCTCTACCATTAAGCTACAATCCTGTCTCCTAGTCTCCCCTCACTTTAGCAGACAACCAGAGGTGTTAAGAATTTGGTGAATAAAATGGAATATAAATGGAGAATAAAACAAATGGAAATGGAAATGAAGAGCTATATGGTCATATGAGAAAAAGAAACTCAAAATAACCCTAAACAAGGCGAAAACAAAAACAACCACCCAAACAAATCTCTACCCCTGGGGATAAAAAGAAGACACTGCCTTATGAAATGGGATACTCGGAAAACACCAAAGGACCACCCAGGGAACAAACAGAACTCTCCGAAACATGATAGCAAAATAAAATTTCACAGGCAGGATGCAGTGTACAGAAAAACCTCCCAACAAGTAGAGCAAAAAGGATGAAAACAGCAAAGAAAATATGAGGAAAATGAAGAAACAATCAAACACAGTCCCAGAAGTATAACAAGGGTCCTAAAAAGACATGAAAAACAAAACCAACACCAACTAACTGAAAGATATTTCCCCAAACTGAGGATGTGAATTCCCACTATAAAAGGACCATTGAATATAGAGAATAAAAATGAACCAAATTATTAGTATGTACTGTAAATTGAGACCTAAGGCATTTTATAATATACCAGATATAAAAAAGGAATTTAATCTCCTCACATTTTGTAAACAACACTAAGTGGACCACAGAATATTTCCAAAGAAAAATTCTTCTTACCAAGAGTTCTTATCCCAGTTAATCTTCTCTTTTCAGGAGTTGTTAGCTACACGCTCTACATTATCAAGAATACAAATTCCCTAAGAAAAAGTCATGAGAGCAGAAAGAATTTCCAAGGTGATTCTATATAGTCAACTGAGGGAACAACCAGGCGAGAAGAATAGTGCCAGGATAAAACAATGTTGAAGGCTGTCATCAAGGAGCCTGCTCAGCTAAATGCTCAGATGAAGTGCTGCCTCATCTGATATATTAACTTATCTCCAAGTATATCTGGCTTTGTCTTACTCTTGAGATCTGCAGGGGAAAGCCCATTCTCTTACGAGAAAACATAGGCAGCCTGCCTACTCTTTCTGACTATTCCTGCAGAAGCCCCAGCATCTGACTCACTTCCACCCTCATCCCAGCTGTGGGGAACCCTGCATTTTCCATGATCAGCCATTTCCATTGTAGATTCTTAACTCTTGAAGAAACTGAGCTAGGCAAAGCCAAGCCTCTGGCAGGATTTTTTCTTGGGAGCCTTCGCTTTAGAGAAGCAGCCAGGTGTGGTCATGCACACCTTTAATCCTAGCACTGTGGAGGCAGAGGAAGGTGGATCTCTGAGTTTGAGACCAGCCAGGGCTACACAGGAACATTCTATCTCCAAAACTGGGGAAAGGGAATATTACAGTCTTACCCTACAGGTTTATATGTATTTGGTTTCTATATTAAGTACTGTTTTTTGCTAATATGGAGATTAAATATTTGTTAATAAAGGAAAAACAGATAAGAGCAAAACAGCAAGTACAGAAATGATGAATGGCCTTAAGGACAGACGCTTAAAACAAAATCAGACTAAATGTACTTAAAATGCATAGAGGAGAAAAACTGCTTTTGTTCTTAAGACTGATTCACACAATAGTTAACTAGCTTAATCTACTTTTTAGTTTTAGACTATATAAACTTAGCCTTTTGAATATATCTTTACATTCAGGTCCCAAAATAAGTCTGTGTGGTATTAAAACAAAAACAAAAAACAAGACAGCTGTCATAATCAAGGTTTTATAGCTTTGAGAGGGCCAATTAATTTATGTTAGTAAAAAATAATTATTTCTGGATCATGTCACTACACACCCTATATTAATGTTTAATGATACATTTTACTATTAATCATTACTATCATTTCTAAGCATAAGCTAATGCTAACAGTGAATTTGAATTCTGATAGTCTTAATTTTTATCATCCTATATATATTTCTATTAAAAATTCAATTTTCTTGGAAGAGACACAGCCTGAAGTCTCTCCGTGTATTTTATACCTGGGCTAATGTGGCAATCTGTGGTTGGGCTTGAGCTGTCATTTGTTGATTTTCAGCTTCTGTTACAGCAGCATCTCCACTCTGCTGGTTGTCTGCTCCAGATTCCATGGTCATTTAGTTACCTACAATAATATGGAAGAGTGTTACGAGCACTACAGTGCTTTGTACTTGCGTGACTTTATAGGCAAACTTCAAGTTATAAATAGGTCTATGTGATGGTTAGGTTAGTAAATGCACTTAGAAATCTAGTTAAAACAATATAGCTGATCTTTACTCAAACTTGTTCAAATCTGCTGAGCTATAAACCCTAGTACCTTCAAAAAACAAACAATGAAGAAATTCAAGTCTTCTTTCTGGTGTTTCTTCCTAATAGGACATAGGGATGGTCCCTCTCATGCCTCTTCCTTTACTAAAGAGGAGGGCAGAGGTGGCAGCAAAGTTGATTTCTCAAGCTGCCCCAGTCAGCTTCAGAAAGAGGGTAGAAAGCAGGAGCGAGCGTCAGGTCTGAGATACTGGCTTCACATCCCTCCTCTAGGCATTTCCTCCTGTCAGAGCAAGAAGCAGAGCAACTGTCAGCCACTCCCTAGTAGACAAATATAACAAGGCAAATGAACCCAACTTTCAAAAGCCCACAGAGTGGGCTATGGAGGTAAACAGGTAAGATTAAATCAGAGACTCCAAACACTGAGAAAGTTGTGATGCTCCACTTCTGACCCACGGCACAGAAGCAAACACCATTTTATATCTCTGATTCTAAGTTCTGGATAAGTCAATACTGGACTCTAGTACATTTGCTAAGTAGTTTTGCTAAGAGTTTGTGTATCTGTGTAGTGCTCTGGCACCTCATGGCAGCAAAAGTTAATGGAAAAGAGCTCCTAGCAGCAGTAGTTACATGCAGATTAGTAAATTTTCAGATTAACTGGGGAAGCAATCCTTTCTAAACATTTGGGGGGGGTGGTAGGGGAAGGGAATACTTCTGGTGTATCCCTCTTCTAGCTCAATGCCTGCCTACATATTACCAAATAAAAACAAATGTATTATGAGTGATATCTATACTCATCCCTCACATAACAGAGAAATCTCAATGCTTTACCAAACAACTCTAAAACTAAGAATCAAAATTGACACTCATACTCATGATCATTACATACTATCAAAATGTATCCAATATTTAACATATTATTATTTATTTACAGTTTAAGTTGAAGATAAAATGTTTCTTCAGAAATATAAAAAGAAATACCAGCATCCACAAAACACAAAGTAAAAAGGTCATCAGACTTGATAACATGGTTATTTAAAACAGTCATAGAGCTCCCAAGACACTGGGAAAAATAACTGCCATGATCGCCACACTATCATCCAAAGTACGCCACACTATCATCCAAAGTAGAAGTATGAGCCAGTATGAAACTCAGCATTTAGTTTATAAAAATGCAGTTCAAAAGTATTTGATGTAGACTTTGTTTTATTAATACCATAAAACCATCTTTAGAAGGGTTATGAAAAGAATTACTGCAGTAAAAAGAAAACTGTCTACAACATAATGACACTAAATCGAAGTGAATCCAATTTATGTTATTAAAAAAAAAAAAAAGGAAAACATGAAGGTACATCCATAGGCATAGGAAGAGTATGGGGAATTTAAACACACTCAGCCACTCAGCTGCAAGTGGTACCTACAGAACTTTTAGAGGATGACAAGTCTCATCATCTGGTATTCTTTTTACATACTTTACTATCAGTATTGGTTAGGGATTTTTTTTTCCTTCAAGGGATTCAGTGTTTGTACTGTTTGAAGGAAAAAAACAAAACAAAACAAAACTCATGAATAACATTTTTGAGCCATGGACCGAAACTATATTTCAATAGTGATTTGGAGACACCCATTGACATTTCCTCAAATTTCACTTTTTTCTTTTTTTATATCTAATTACCCATTTGACTGGCTGTTCTGTATTTACAATTGGGGGAAACCTGGAATAACCTGGTTATTGTCACTCATGAAAATTTAAATTATCATAAGTTATACTCTAAATTTTTTAAGGAAAACATAATATGTAAAAATAAAACAATTTAGCCATCCCCAAATGGATCTATGCTTTTGACCTGGAAGAACATGGCACATGTGGAACAAAGTGGTTATTTCAGGAACAGTAAATGACTACTGCAATACTTCCTTTGCAGATAGAATACACACAATCATTTCAAAAGACTCAAGTCACATATATTTTTACAGCTACATTGCCATTCACACATAATTAATTTTACCATTAGCACAAAGGTAATCTACAGATGGCAGACGAGAAGGTTCAACTACAACACACTTCTTCTGGTTTCCACCTTGAAGGCATTACAATAGCAATCTGCCCAGTTGGACTGAGGTGACATTTCAAGTAGGACCATTCATGTCACACTTCATAACCTTGTGCCTGTTTATGTCCTCTAGTATGGGAAGATTGTGTAGCAACATGTGTAGTCTTCAGTTTTTTTTTTTTTTTCATTAACCCAAATGTCATAATAGAATAGCCTATCAAAAAGAATTTGTGGGACCCTGAACAAATAATATAAAATTTAGACCTTGGGGCAGAGCAAAGCAGGTAAAGGCACTTGCCATGCAAGCCTGGCTACCTCACTCTGATCCCCGGAAGACCCCCTCAAAGGTACAAACAAAACAAAAAAACTTATTATTTCACAAAATCGCCCTCTAAAAGCCATCACTCAACCCCATCATGAGCACAGTAACATTTTTTTTAAAATCATAACTCAAAGTTATTGGGCTTAGAATTTGTAAAGTGCAATGGGCTAATTCACAACAAAATTCCCTTTACTAGTAAACTTTACTAACAAGTATTAAATTTTAATCAATTTACATTATATACATTATGCTTATATTGAAACACTGTATCTGAACATGTTGAACATTGTTCAAGCTACTAGGAGAAAACAAAGAACAGAACGAAACTGTAGACAACTTTTCCATTTAGAGTTTACATTTTGCTGTGCAAGAGCAGGGCAAGAGAGCAAGCAAATGTCTACAATGTCAGAGGATGGAAAGTATGTAGGAAAATACGACTAGTGAACATAGTGGTAGTATTGTGTGTGGCATATTACTCAGTATTATGAAGGCTGACCACTGAACCATTCCTAACAAGGTAGCATTTAATTCCCCTGAGTAGCACCTATACAGAAGTATGCTGAATCAGAAATAAATTTGGCAGCACTACCTCCCTATCTGTCTATACCAAATTAACACAAATTGTCATCAAACTACAAATTAAAGTTCATCAAAGCTGACCAAACTGCCACTTTTACAATCACTAAATGAAAAGGAGGCTGTGAACCTTCACTTCTTTTTCTTGACTTTTATTCTGATTTTCTTAAGGACCTCAGTTCTTAAGATCCTTGATATTTTACAGGGGGCTAGAGATGGTTGAACAGTGAAGAGTACACATAGACTACTCATGGACCCAGCACCAACATCAGGCAGCTCACAATAACCTGCAACTCCAACTTCAGAGGAGCCAAGGCTAGCTATCTTCTGGCTTCTGCTAGCACCTGCAGAAATATGTCTAGTCTCACACAGGCAGACACATATTAAAATGAAAAAAGTCTTAAAAAAAAAAAAAAAGGAACAAATCCATCCTTCTCACAATCTGGCTATTTAAGCCCCCTAAATCTACAAATTTAATTCTTTTAAAGATGTCAGATAAAGAGTTCAAAGAAATGCATTCTAACTAATGGAACATATGCTGTTTGTTAAGATGGAAGTGACCTCAATTAGGATTGAAAAAAAGATTTCCCAGCACAAGAACAAACTCACAACTCATCTTCAACTCTTAAAATTCCAGGGATTTCAGGAAACCACATAAACAGAACTCTGAGTTTCCAGGGCAACTTCAGCAAAAGGCATATTTAGGCACAATTTAAAAGCTGACTAGGGTTAGACAGATAACTCAGCAGTTAAGAGTGTGTATTGCTCATTTAGAGGACCTGTGCTTGTTTCCCAGCAGCCATGTCTAGCAGCTCACACTCAGTTCCAACTCCATCTGCAGGATCTGACACTTCTGATCTCAGCACATACCTACACACACCCCTGCACTCACACACCCGCCACCCACCCCAGAGCAGATACCTGCACTTACATGCTCATATGTATACACACACGCACAGGAATCTTTAAAAATAAACTTTACAATTCTGTTGTCATAAATACATTAACTAAAAACGTTCTGCAGAAGTATATCCATTCTTACATGGGATACAATCATTTCTAGTTCTTTTGTACTTGTTTTAATTTTCTGAAGAGTTTAAAAAGCCTTGTCAAACCATCCTCCTACTTCTGCTATGTGCTCTTTCTGAAGTATTACTGAAGAATGGTAAAGGCTCAGCTTCTGTAGGACAGAAATTATTTCAAAGCCAATAGGCATGTGGCACTGCCTAGAATCCTTTACCTTAACCTGTAAAATTCTTTTTGGCTGTTGTCACCTTGAAACATTTGCCATTTATCTGTTCTGTTAAGTCTGGTCTATCAGAATTGAGATGTGTGTAATCAGTACTTAAAACTGAGCAATGTTCCAAGTTTCTGAGACTAATAATAGTCTCCTGATGGTAAATATAGTCAACACTCAATAAAACGAGTCATATTCAGTCATCACATGCATAACATTCTAGACACATACCCAACTCAATAGTTATTAACCCCAACTGTGTTAACTCAAGATTTGGTCAGACTGGTTATATTCTTTAAAAAGAAAAAAAAAATTATATGTATTTTGAAAGAATGAGTCAAGACAGGCAATGAAATCAAATAGCTATCTACATCAAGTTGATTAAATTCTGTTCTCAAAATTCCTGAGACCTTACCAAGATCCTTTCCAAACAGAATTTATGTCTTTTCTCTAGATAACAGAAGACAAGTTGTAACAAGAAGGTGATTATAATATAATGACTTAAATTAATTCTAGGGGCTGGAGAGAGATCAGTTAAAAGCATTTGCTGATCCTTCCACGATCAGAGTTACGTCCCAGAACATCAGATGGTTTACAACTGCTTATAACTCCTATTCTAGGAAATGAGACACGCGGGTACCCAAACACATGTGGTGTACACCCCCCCAATAAATCCTTGAATAAACTCTAGAAAAGTTTTAGTTTTCATACTTTCATAGACAATCTGTACCAATAGTAAACACCAGTATAACCTAACCGCCACTCCAAATGGAGACAGCAAATGGCAATGCATCACAATATTACTTAATAAATTCCTTGATTCATTCACTTAACTCAGAGAAATCTTAATTTCAGTATTTTATGGTTAACTGAAGTTTTGGAATTACCATGTTACTGGCATGCCAGTTTGAAAGATTAATATGCAGCATAGCTTAAGGGAGATATGTGTAAACACTGTGTAGCTTAGGGCAGTCACTACAAATATCTAGTATATAGTTCTTTTCAACAAGAAAGTTGAAAACTCCAAGTTCTTCCTCTTGTTTTTAAAGTACCGGCAACATTCATTTGCCTTGTTCTCTTTCAGGCAAGACTAC